ATTATATAATGACCTTCTTTGTCCTTTTCATTGTTGTTGACTTAAAGTCTGTTTTATCTAATATAAGTATGCTACTTCTGCTAACTGTTGGTTTCCAATTGCATAGGATATCTTTTTTCATCCCTTTAATTCCATATGTGTCTTTATAGGCTAGATGAGTTTCCTATAGGCAGAATATAGTTAGCTCATGTTTTTGCAAAACTCTATTCAGCCAGTCTACATCTTTTAAGTGGATAGTTTAGTCCATTTACATTCAAGGTTATTATTGATATGAGGCAGCTTGCTCCTATAATTATATTAATAGATTCCTGGTTGTTTTGTGCATCCATTATTCCTTTTTTCCCTCACTTATTGTTTATAATTGTGGTTTGATAGTTTTCTATATTGGTATCATTTGAGTCCTTTCTCTTTTTTTGTTTGTGTGCTTACTCTGTCAATGGATTTTATATTTTGTGTATTTTCATGTTAATAGGTATCATTGTTTTATTTCTGGGTTAGACTCCCCTAAGAATTTCTTTTGGGGCCAGTGTAGTGATGAATTCCCTCAGTATTTGCTTGTCTGCAAAATACTTTATTTCTCCTTCATTTATGAAGGTTAATTTTGCTGAGTATAGTATCCTTGACTGGAATATTTTTCTTTCAGCACTTTGAAAGTATCATCTAATTCTCTCTTGTTCTGTAAGGTTTCTGCTTAGAAATCCACTGTTCGTCTGATAGGGTTTCCCTTATAAGTGATTAGACACTTTTCTCTTGTTGTTATAGAATCATTTCTCTGACTTTTGACATTTTGGCTATGATGTACTGTAAAGAAGACCTTTTTGAATTTCAATTATTAGGGGATCTATGGGATTCCTGGAATTTTTCTTTTAATTAATATGTCATTAAATAGGTTTTCTAATTCTTTCATTTTCTCCTTGCCCTGTGGAGCACAAGATATTTAAACATTTGGTCACTTTTTGGTGTCTTACCTGTCACGTAGGCTTTGCTCATTCTTTTTAGTTCTCTTATTTTTATTTTTGTCTTACTTAGTTCAAAACACCTGTCTTTAAGTTCTGAAATTCTTGTTTTCTCTAGTTTATCGTTTAAGCTTTTACATATATTTTGTATTTCATTCAATGAATTCTTCAGTTCAAGAATCTCCATTTAATTCTTTTAAAATATTTATTTCTTTGTTGAACTTCTCATCATAGCCTGAATGTTTTTCTGATTTCTTTGTAATGTTTTTCAGTATTCTATTGTATTTTACTAAGTTTCTTTAAAATCAATATTTTGAATTATTTTTCTGAGATTTTATAAATTCCTTTTTACTGGAATCTTTTGCTAGAGAGTTATTAGGTTCATTTGGAGATATCATATTTCCTTACTTTTTCATGTTTCTCGTGTTTTTACACAGATGTCTGCACTTCAAGTGTAATAGTCACTTCTTCCAATTTTTTGAATTTGCTTTCTTAGTAGAAGACTTTTTCCTGAAGATGTGGTGTTGGTTATGTAGGCTCTTTGGCTTTGATTCTGGATATTTACAGTAATGTAACCGCTGTATGATTTCTTCAGATATAAATAGGGTTAGTGGTATCTGTGATTTCCTCAGTGGCTTTGGGAGCATTCGTTAGTAGAAGCTGTGGTGGAGTTTACCACGGGATGGTAGGTCAGGTGGGCTAATCTTTGAGACTAATGTTGGCAGCAGTGGGCTGCATGTCCCTTCCCTTGGACCTCAAGGTGGTGTATGCTGACATCATTATTGTTTCTAGACAGGTTGATTCTTGAACTTCCAAATGACCTTCTTGATTGCCGGGAATGACAGAAGTGGGCTGGGTGAGTGGGCAGGTTCTTGTGATTCTGGATAGTAGCTATAACATGGGTGATGGCAGTAGCTATGGCAGGACATGTTTCTGGGTCCTGAGTGGTCTTCACTGATGTTGGTGGTGATAGCAACAGGTTGTGTGGCCAGTCCCCTCCCTTACTAGTGGTATTTGTGGGTGGTTGCCAGCTGTGATGATTGTGGCAGGTTGGGTGGGCCCAACCTAAGGCCCCTGGGGGGAAGTGCTCAGGTGTCAATGGTGGTGGGGTGGACTGGGCTGGGTGATCTCCAGACCTGGGATGCTTGTTTACTGGGGTGCAGGGCAAAGCTAGATCAAGCAGCCTTGTTCTTAGGTCCCCTGGTGGTGTATCCAAGCTCTGGTTGTGGTAGGTAAGCATGTGGTGATCCTCAGCCTGATGGCTGAATGCTCAGGCAGGAGCAGCAGTGGTTGTGCTGCTACTGGGAATGGCAGGGTTGGTTTCAGTATTAGCAGCCATAGGCAAGCAGCTAAGGGTGGGGTCCTCAGTTGCACACTGGCTCTGGTGTCAGCAGGCTGCAGAAACAACAGCCACAGGCAGTGGAGTTTGTCTTTAGGGTACATAAAATTGTGAGGTTGCCCCTCTGCTGCAAGGGGTGATGGGAGGGTTACTGCTGGTGGCTTGCTCTTCAGCCCCAGTGGTGGATGCTGCTGGGAACAGCAGCCATAGGCAGGTTAGCATTTGCTAAAGTAGTCCCTTTCATGGGAGGGGCAGGGTCACTGCTGGCCACTTCTGCTTTGGCCTGGGCAGAGACAGCAGCTGGCAATAACAGTGGCTGCATGCGGGTAGTCTTTTGTCACTACTTCCCCTTGGTTAGGAGGTGTGGTGTTGTTGCTGCCTCAGCTGTGCAGCAGTGGTTGTAGGTGAGAAATTTCCATGGTCCCAGAGATATGGAGATCCAGTGCTGCTGGGTGCCAGAGCAGGATGTCGTCTGGTAGAGGGTCATGGTCTTAACATGGCATCACACTTTAACTGCTTAGGACTTAGGGAGAGCTCCCTTTCTGGACTGAAGCCCTTGCTCAGTCTCCAAGCAGCTCATTATGTTGGTTTCAGGACCCACATGGGTCAAAGGGCTCTCCCATGGGCTAAGTTGGCAGGAGGCCATAGTGAAAATGTGTATTGCTGGGGTCTCTCACTTACCCTTTTACCACACTGGGGAGTCCCTCTTGGTTTCTAGCCAATCCTGGCTGAGCAGGCTGCCTCACTTACCCTTCCTTCCTTGCTTTAGATGTTTTCTGTCACTTCTCTGCTGAATTCCAGTGTTCTCAGATAATTTGTTTGAATGGTTATCTACTTGCTATGCTGGTTCTTCTTTGTGGAAGAGGTGCATACCAAATGTGTCTAGTCAGCCATCTTGAAGGAACTCCCTCAGCAGTCTTCTTAACTATGTTTAAGTAACAGTTTAGTTAAGTGTATTCTCTTTGTTGTGAAGAGATCTCCAGAACTTTGTCATCTTACAAATCTAAAACTCTATACCCATTAAACAATCACTGTTCCATTCATGTAACTGGAATCATACTATATTAGTCTTTTAAGTGACTGGCTCAATACAATGTCCCTAAGGTTCATTCATGTAGCACATGACAGAATTTCCATCCTTTTTAAGGTTGAATATAGACTTTTTTTTTTTTTACAATGAAATATTTCAACTACAAAGAAACTTATTTAAAAATTTAAAAGATTTTTTTTATAGTTAGAAATGCTATTTACAAACTACTTGAAGCTCTCTTTGGCCCGGGAATATATGAACTGGGGTGATAGGATGTTATGAGTAAGTATATGTAGTTTGACAAAACAAGTGGTTTCTTTTTTCCATCCATTGGCTGACAGTTCTATAATAGTGTTTGGTAGAGATGACAAAAATATTGGATATCTGAAATATATAATATTATTTGTAATTTATTTAAAAAATTAATTCATACTGTTTTCACATAGAAACTGCTAAGCCAATAATAAAATATATTTTTTTATTATATATAATTACAGAAAATACAGTTAAATAGAACACAGAAGGAAGATAACATTTTATAGGAAGATAATATTTTTGTAATAGGCATATGGGGAGATATAAACTGTTAAGTTTCATTCCTGTTAACTTATACAAATGCAAAATAAATGTGAGAAACAACTGTTTTGAAATACCATGTCTTTTCACACTTTAAAAATCATATTAAGTATAAAATCAAAATGATCTGAATAATCAATGACTTATCATTTCACATTCTCAATTATAAACATTTTCCATTATGGCTATAGTAATTTCACCAAACAAATATAAGAGAATTCAACTGTAAGTTTTCTTTCTCTACTACCTTTCTCTTCTTCTAAACTCATTCCATTCTCCCTTACTATACTTCTTTTCTTTAAAAAGGCAGTCACAGAAAATATTTTTCTGGAAGGACCTAAATTACTTCCCAGGATTAGTATAGAAATACACAGACTCAATAAAAAATAACTTTAAAAGATGACCCTTCACCCAAATGTGAAATTCTATAACTCCATTAGATTGTTGTATTTGGTTTATTAGGTCAATTTATTTTGACTTTCCATCTTAGTATCTAGTCGAATAAATCAGTTATGCAGATTTAGTACATACGCCACCACTTAGCTGAAGGAATAAAGTCAACTGTTGCTTTATGTTGATTGTTATAGTAACTGTTTATAGCTGTTTAGTAACTATTTATAGCTGATATTAGATGGGATGTCCAGCGCTCATAAATTTTTCTTACATTAAAAAAATGATCTGCATAATAGAATATAAATTATTTCAACAAAATCTTAAAACATTTGGTTCACGATTATACTGGCCAACTGAAGTACATTTCTAAAAACTCAAATGTTTTATTTGGCAAGCAGCTGTCTACATGGTCATCTGTGTTTTTATTTAAGGAAAAAATATAAGCGATTTCCTAAGGTGGCCTCCTCTGCACCCCAAGCTTTTACTGTTTGAAAAATGCATGAGTACTTTCCCCTGGAAATCATATAGTCTACACATATTTTATAATCATCACAGAATGTAGGAGTATGGACAATTTATTATATATCTGAGAACATCAGAAAACATGATGTTTGATGTCATATGGTCTAAAATAGCCCATGATGCAAGGCTTCCACCAGATGTCCTTGGACTGTTTGACAGTCTAATTGTCTTTGTTGTCTTCTTTCAATGGCAGCCACGTATTCAGCTCTGCTCATTAACTGCCCACTCAATGAATAACACTGTGGTTGGTACATGGGGAATTACAAAGGGAGACTTCATATTATATTGTAAGGCCTTCAAGGTCTTTATAATCTAATATCGGGCACTAATTGGAAGGATATAATAAATATCTATTATTGTCTTTGGCAGAGAGAGTGCTGGAACATGTCTTGTTTCCTTATTGTGTGTGTCAATGTAATGGAAATAAAAGAAGTAACAGACATTATAGATAAGGAGCTTTAAAGGAGAGATTACTGGAATGAGTTCTGAGCAAAATTATGAGAGAAAGGTGGTTTTTGGTTGGGAAAAATAGTAAACATGCGGCCTGAACCAAGAGGATGGCATGCGATTGTCTGGATATGGAGTCATTTGGTATAGGACCTGAATGCATATGAGCAGAAGTTTGAATATGATTTAGGAGGAGGATAGAAAACCACTACAAGCAAGCAGAGACATGACTAAAGTTATAGATCAGGAGAATGCCTTGGTTGTGATTAAGATAAATTGATGAGGAAGAGTTTATATGGGAAGGAAGACTGGTACAGTGGTGGGCATTAAAGGCAATTAAGACAGGGACTTGGGCTACAGCTATTAAATTAAATTGAAATTTTCAGATGACCCTCGGGGGGCTATGTGCCTCTACTCAACATCCAAATGTTGCATTAAAATATTCTTAGAAAAAATATTTCCAACTTTTTTTTTTGCTTGTTGTCATAGATACTTCAAGACTGAAAGGAGAAAAAAAATAATTCAAAGGGAACACGAGATGGCAGCAGTTATATCATATACAGAGAAAGATTGGAGAAATAAAAGCATTTGAAAATATTTTTTAAATAAAAAATATGCAGCACCTTATTCTTTATGTGCTGTATTCCTTTTCAGCACGGAGATTACCCAGTCATTGGTTTCATGCTTCACAGCACATCTGAGCTTCATTCTGACTATAGTAAAATTCTTACTCCATTACATGTGATTGTTTCCTAAAATAAAGCTGGAGTTGTTTTCTGCAGATTACTCTTCCTCTGTGTTATCTGAGGCAGAAGAGTTCTCTGTGGTGCAAATTCGTTTTAAATGTTCCAGCATTGCTTTTTCTTCCTCTTCTAGTGTTTCATCCTTTCTCATTTCCCACCTAAAAGAAAAATCACATCTTAGCATTTTTGTAACTTTCACATTACAGGTCAACACCCAGTTATTCACGGCTTGAATATGTCATCATTGGTTTCTTGAGGTATCTGTTTCTTCTTGTTTATTCTTCACTGTCTGCCTCTCAGGCAACACAATTCATTGGCACTGCATCTGCAGCATGAGCCAGGAGAGTGGGATAGGAGAAGAGAGTCAAAGCAGCTCCACTCCAGGATAAGGTTATTTTATTTTATTTTATTTTATTTAGGGAAAGGGTCTTGCTCTGTCAGCCAGGATGGAGTGCAGTGGTACGATCACAGCTCACTGCAGCCTCCAACTTCTGGGCTCAAGTCATCCTCTGCTTCAGCCTCCTGAGTACTGAGTAGCTGGGACTACAGGCATACGCCACAAAGCCCAGCCAATTTTTAAATTTTTCTTAGAGAGGGAGTCTTGCTTTGTTACCTAGGTTGGTCTGCCTTGGCCTCCCAAAGTGCTGGGATTACAGGTGTGAGCCACAGTGTTGGGTCCCAAGGATAACGTTTTTTAAAGTATTTTGTTTTAAATGCAGTTTCTGTATTTCCTAGATTTAAAACATGTATATGACCTATGAAAATACACACACATATAAATAAAATCTAGAATTAGTAACTACTAAGCAAATATTTTTCATAGTATTTTTCCCTCACTGCTGAACATATCAGTAGCTTTAAGTTGCAGGGAGGTTTGCCAGGAAGATCTTAGCAGAAAGAACATCAAGCTAAATTGGATAAACCTTAAGGGCAGGTCAGTCTATTCTTGGAAACAAGATCAGATTTGAAGCAATCAAGTTAAATCACCCAAGAAAAGTGGCAAATAGTTAGCAAGCTTCCAAAGAACATTTACTAAAAAAAAAAGGATTAAAGACTCTCTAATTCTGAGTGATTAGAAGATACAGAACAGAATGTTAGAATCTAGAACTATATACATATGTACATAATCTTGCAAATAAGTATTATCACAATAACCCAAGCATGCTTAGTGCTCCCTCTCTCATATGTGTCACCTCCTCAGGACTGGCCAGGGTAGACTGAGCCCAGCACTCCAACAGTTTCTTTTTCCTTTCCTCACTCTTATTTCCACCACTCCCTAAGCCATCCACCATGATATGCTGTCACAAAAGGATTTTAAAACCAAAATACCTCCAAAAAGACCCTCTTCTCTAAAGGCTTCAGCGGGATAGGACTCTGAACCACAAACAAGCAACTGAATGTCCTCTAGAAACCACCTACCGTATTATGATCAGAACTCCTGGTTAACAAATAGCCTGGCACGCTTGAGGAAGAAGGCATGGGTTCAGGGTGGAGTTTTCTGGTTTTGTTGGAGGGATGAAAAGAAAGCACAGACACAACATTTTCCATAAAGACCTTGTATTGGGATGCCTGTTCTCACACAGGGTTCCATATTGGGTTGCTGGGGTTCAAATTGTCGTAAGAGAGGAGGAGGAGGAGGAGGGAAAGTATGGAGTGAAGGGAGAGGATGTTCTGATCTATGACACTTGGTTTTAACTTGTATTTCTGCTTTACCCTCTGCCTATGACTCTCCTCACCTCCTAGCCTCAACATTGTCTGGATCTAAAAATTACTATTTCTGGCTGCCTTAGTTTCTCTATATGTTTGAAGTTAGGTCATTGATCTAACAGGTTTTAATAACAACTTGAAGAATAAATAGAATTTTCACTGCCACACTGTTCAAAGCCATATCCTAAGGGAATATACCCCTAAAACCATCATTTTGGGATTTACAATTTAGCCTGCAAGGTTTTCTTACACTGCTTTCATGGAATTTTAATGATAAAAAGCTCCCATTACTCATATTATATGGGTAGACTTGGGTGTCATGAAGATTCATGTTAAACTGAGTTCCTCTGAGCAGGAAAATAAATAATAGCAAATAACTATATAGCACTAACTATGGGTTAAACACAATTTTAAACACTTGACATAATAGTCTTCAAATTCTCAATACAAAATGTTGTTATTCCCATTCTACAGATTAGTAAACCGAGGCACCGAATATTAAAGTCACTTGCCTGAGTATCTTTAGATTTGAACTCAGAGAATTAGGTTCTGGAGTTCAAAGAATTAGGCTTGTAAATGCAGTAACAACTATGGTTTTAAAACCATTTTACAGCTATCATACATTGCTGTTAGAAAATAAATATTTCACTTTCTGAAAAAATATTGCCCAAATTGTGCTAGAAAATAAATAAAAGAACTATCTAAGGATCATACAAGCTTAAAAGAAATCCAAACATAAGAAATTAGGCTTACCATTTTTTCCTCCCATGTAAAGGTGCTAATATTATCCAAGTAAGTGAATTATTTTCTGAATGTCAACATAATAAAATATGGAATATGCACATAAATATTTTGATCATTGTCTCTATGTGTGAAAATTAAAAGTACAGTCTCGGTGCTTCATTAAAAATCTGTATAATTAATGTAATTTAAATGAATTGTATACATAATAGAATCCATGATAGGGATTTTTGAAGCTTCATGACAATTATAGGCACTTCACAGTATAATTGAGCTGTTAGTAATTAATGACATTAGGCAAAGTTATTTACCTACGACAACCTTATTATATTTGCTTTGTGCTTATTAAGAAGAAATCATTTCATAAGAGGATAAGAAATGGTGACAAAGACGAATGAAAAAATGATATTAGAACTACATTTTTCCTAATAATTTTCCTCTTATTGAATAAAACCATTAGAGATTTAAAATGTGTGTTTATCACAAACATTGCTATACTTCATATCTATAAGTTCTTAGGAGAAGTTCATTTCTAATTCCAACATGGCTTTAGTTTTGGGGTTTTTGTTTATTTTAATACACTGCGAAAACAAGTCAATTCTTTCAACAAACTATTGGAAGATAAAATAATTTACCAATTTGTTAAACACAATTGAATGAACAATCTGCTCAAAATCTTTACCCCTAGTTTATAGCTCATATTTCATATGGTGGTGGAAACACATCCCGACAGAAACCAGAAAATGTTGAAATGAGTTGTTTTAGTCTGTAATGTGTTGCTACAAAGACATACCTGACACTGGGTAATTTATAAAGAAACAAGTCTATTTGGCTCACAGTTCTGCATAGTGCTGGCATCTTCTTGGTTTCTGGTGAGGAAGCTTATAATCATGGTGAAACGCAAGAGGAACCAACGTGTCACATGGCAGGAACAAGAGTAACAGAGAGAGAAAGTGGTGCCAGCCTCTTTTAAACAATCAGTTATTTCGTGAACTGATAGAGCAAGAATTCATTTATGATCAGGAGAACACCCCCAACCATTCACGAGGGTTCCACCCCTATGATCTGATAACCTCCCACTAGGCCCCACCTCCAACAATTGGCTCTCACATTTCAACAAGAGATCTGGAGGGAACAACCATCCCAACTATATCATCAGTGTATTCTAGTCCTCCCTGAAAAACATTATGAGGTGATTATTGTTTTGTTTTTCCTATTTTTGGTAGCCTGCCCTTTCGCACCATTGCTCAATTCCACATCTGCCTACCATGGTAAAGAATTACAACCTGGTTCCTACTACAGCTGGTGGCAATGACTATGCTGTATCTTTGACCCTAATGAGCAGCAAATCTCATGAGACCACGCTGATCTGTACTGTACTATTAGCTGTCTTCTGGAATGGGCTTTATCTCTATGGCTTCTAGGTGATTAGATGTTGGGGCTTAACCTATCCTTAACTATGTGTCCCTTTTCCTATCCAAACACAACAGGGACTCTAAAACCTGGGCTGAGATTGAAACCAGTCCAACTTCCTCACAGAACTGTTATTTATGTTTTTCTTTAATAAATATAGAAAATGTCTTTCCTGGTCTTAAAATTTGAAAAGTACATTTGCCTTATCTAAGTCCCTTCCTCAGGAGACCAACCTTTAGGCAAGTGACTGAAATTCACCAGACCACAGCATCCAGACAATGAGATATCAGATCCCTCACTCAACATGTTTGCTTTCTTACCACACCCAAATTGCTGTCTTACATTTCCTCCTCCACTATAAAAACCACTAGTTTCAGTTGGCTGGGAGATAAATCTGAGGCTAAATCTTCGTTCTCCTCAGATGATATCACCTAATAAAAAGCCTTCTTCCCTGTCAATACTTGCTGTCTAAGCAACTGATTTTCTGGGCAGTAAGCAAAAGTATCTCAACTGAAACCTTGGCATTTTGGTAAAAGATATTCTAACAGTATCTTTGCTCCATAACACCACTCTGATCAATTTGTTTGTTCTTAGCCTTGGTGCATCTTCCTGGATTTACACATGTATTCATACCGGAATCAGAGGTATCTGCCTACTACTTCGTGTGTTCTGTCAATATTAACTTACATTATAGAGCTTTTCCATGTACCAGACCATGGCCTAAGAAATGTCTGTTTCTGTTCAGCAACTTTTGATATATGGTACCTACAACAGAACTTGAGGTGTGCAAAATAAAAACAATCACAGATCAGTGAGTAATTGTTCTAGTGATCAGTTTTATAGAATATAATATTTGGAGGAGTGTTTCATGGATAGCTGTGTGTCACAGCCAACCAGAAGAGTCACTCTTGAGTGTCACTCTTGGGCATGTATGGTTAAGCATATGGTGTACTCCTGGTAGTGGTATGTTCAGGCTGTCACATAAGCAAGTTCTGTAGGGAGGAGCAACAATACCAGATGGATGAGGGGGACCAGAGTGTGGAGTATGAGAAGTTCTCTGAGATAGATGTTTACTAAACCTTCTATTAGGAGAAAAACATTTAAAATAGGTGAAATCAATACTGTTCTGAATAGGAGCATAGGTCCTTTGGGGTTGAATCAAAATTTACCACTTACAAGTTTAATTCCCTCAGACAAGTTTCTTAACTTCTATGTGCCCTGGAGTTCTCATCTATAAATAGGGACACACTGGAACATGGGCTCTTCATTTGTTTGTGTATTATCTATGACTGATTTC